ACCTGTGATTTCTGCCCCTCCACAACCCCTCGGGGAGCCCTGCTAGCACAATCCCAAAACAGCAGTCCACGCTTCCTACTGCAAAGGAAGTCCGCTCAGACAAAAACGCACAAACCTTCTCAGGGACTGTGCTGCAGCTCACTGGGAGAACATTTGCCTAGCATGCCAGAGGCCCAGGGCTCGCAAAAACAAACGGAAAACATCTCAGGACTTCGCTGGTGGGGGAGACAGAAATCTCCAGTGTTCAACAGCAGCAGAGACCACTGCAACTTAAATACAGCCACAACTGGCAAAGGGTACAATCGGGCAATTCACGCTAGAAAAAGAAAGCCTACAAATCCAGCAGTAGGGGGAGTCAGGAGCAAAAGTCCTCAAAGTATTCACGCCCTTTGACCCAGGTTACTTCCCACCAGGAACTTACCCTGAGGAACTAAAAACATTCGCTGAAATACTATTTATAATTCTGAGGCAAAATGACTCAGGACTGATGATAACAGTACAGCTACACAATAAAGCATCATATAGGCACTGCAATTCATGTTGTAAAGAGTATAGAATGGCATAGGAAAATGTCCACGGCACCATAAGTGAAAGAAAAAAGCAGGTAGTGAGAGATGCGACCCACCTGCAGGAGGGGAAAAGCATTAGTATCAAAATGCTAACAATGGCATCCCTCACCGCCGAGACAGTGGGCGAATTTAATTTCCTTTATTATTTCCTAACCTGCAGGAAGAAAGGAGCTTTACAATCAAAAACACTATCTTTAATTTCCTCAGAATGTGAACCTCAGCTACAAAATCAAGGAGAGGCCTCTTCTTTAACCTTTGAAGTCCAAAGTGGAGAAGGTAATTTCTCCTCTGCAAATTCAACACCATGTGTTATTCATGAAGCAAATTCGACGAGAACCCACAGCGATGGTGCCGGATGCTTCGTCCCTTTGCACACGGTCCCTACACACAGCAGCTACGCACGCACATGCACCAGCGCTCACACACACACACACACACACACACCCTTTAAACCCCCTTGAACACACAAATGACAGCGCTGTGAGCTCTGCAGGCTCAATATGTTGTTGTCACCACCAATGTCAAACGCACACTTCCTTCTATTCTTACTTTTGACAGAAGTTTTTCATTTTTTAGACTGAGCGTGCACAGTTCTCAAGATAATTCTCATGTACGGCAGCCAGCCCATGCTAGAGGGGAACAAACGTAGAGAGGATCCATGCCCTCCCCTCCCAGACCCTGGCCAAGCTGCCCTGCTCCCTCTGGTCACCGCCCCATCTACCCTTTCCCTTCCTCAGCACAACGGCTGCCAGGACTCTGCCTTCCTGTCTGAGGGCTGACAAGACATGTGTGAAGGCAGAGTCACCTGTGACAACCAAGCTCCTCCTGCCCCGGCAGGTGGCTGCAGAAGTCCCTCTAAAACCACTCTGGAAACAATCTGACCAGGCAGTTCTGGCCAAAGGTGCTTTATAGTCACCAGGGGGCTTCATAAAACAGACCCCCCCGCCTTAACCGGCATTTCTAACCTGTTCCCAGCAGTGAAGATGCTGCTGGCCTGGAACGCTTCAAAAACCACTGCTCCAGCTGGGCGTGGTGGCGCACACCTGTCATCCCAGCACGCTAAGAGGCTGAGGCAGGGGAATCACAAGCTTGAGCCCAGTCTGGGTAACTGAGCAACTTAGTGAGACCCTGTCTCAAAATAATAAGGGCTGCGAACGTAGTTCAATCCAAAGGTCTTGAGTTCAATCCCCAGTACCAAGAAGAAGAAAAACAGTACTGCTTCTAGTGCTCTGATCCTCAGTTTTGTCTAAGCAGCTAGGATGCTTTTGAAAATGTAGATTCCAGGCCCCAGGCCCCAGAAGGGCCCCAAAACAGCAAGTCAGGGGGAGGCCAAAGCATAGGTGGAGACACCGGTGGTCAGACAGAACTTGACCACACTGTCGTATGCTACAGGAAAAGGTCCAGACCCCTTGGTCTCTATGGGCAGTCAGAGGTCAGCAAGAGCTCCCTGTGAAACAAGCTGCTGCTCTTCAGGAGGGCCCCAGGACTCCCAGAGCGCCCCTGCCCTGCTGTGCCACAGAATGGGAGGAGAGCAGAACTACAGTCTCCAGGCAGGGAAGCCACAGGGCTGGGGACTGGGCTCTTGTGGCTGTCAAAAAGGCCTGAGAAGGAGTCCTGTCCCCTAGGGTGTCCCTCCTGGCTGCCCCCACACCTTTGTCACTTCATTCCCCCAGCAGAGCTACTTTCCAACCAGGAGGCCGGGCAGCCGTGCTTTAGGAAAACGTCCATAAGCGCCCTTCACAACTATAACCAAGCATGGGAAGAGGCAGGATACATAACCGTGCCCACCACGGCGAGACTCGGGAACGAAACGCGGCCGAGGAGACCTGGGGGCAGCTGCTGGGAGCTGTTTTGCCTCCACCTGTTTCCCAGGCTGTTTATCGAACGCATGTATCATTCTATGGTGAGAACTGGACTCGACTATAAATCAGAAGGGAAAACTACACAGCAGGACACTGCACAGGTTCAGTGCCAGCCCTGGACACATCCAAGCAAGCAGGACGTGAAGGCAGTGACCACTTGGTGGTCGGCAGCAGGAACTCCCTGCAAGTGTCCCTGTGCTCTGCTCCGCTCCAGGGCGAGGCCACCCACACTCACAAGCCCTGCTCGCAAGCACTAAGAAGGCGGAGGGAGCCTCCAAGGATGCAGGGTCCTCTTCCTGCCCCAAGCCCTCTGGGGCCGTGTCTGGACCGCTTCCCATCCTCCGGAACTCCACACAGCAATGTCTGAGGATGACATGCCCCACGGGAGTGCTCCACCTCTGAACTAACCCTCTCCCGCGTGGGTGTCAGGTCCTTTGGCCCAGCCCAGACCTGGACCCTCGGAGTTGCTGATCGCCGGGAGCACGAGGCTCACTGGGCCAGCAGGACCCAAGGACAGTATCTTCACAGCCCAAGAGCTGCAGTGAGCGCCTGGCTGCTCCAAGTGATTCCCAGAGAGCTCAGACACCTCACCTCTGTCTGATCTCCCTCTGCCATCGCAGAGACACGGCCTCCTCTCAGCCACACCTGGGGCAGGACACACACTTGGCTACTGCCGTGCCTGTGATTCCGGCCAGCCCTGCACACTAAGCAATCACTCTACCACTGAGCTACACAGCTCCTCCCTTCTTTGTTTTGAGACGAGGTCTTCTTAATTTGCCTAGGTTGGCCTTGAACTTGTGCTCCTCCCGCCTCAGCTTCCCGAGTAGCTGAGATTACAGGCGTGCGACATCACACCTGGATCCGACTTTCCACCTCTCACGTTCACATCCTGCTCAGTTTTCTTCCGTCTGGAATTTGGTAAATAAATCTTTATTTGACTAACTGTGGGAAACTGACCCAACGGCATCAGGGACAGTAGTCCCTCGGGCACAGTACTCGGCTCTACCCAGACACCCTCTCCTCTTCTCTCCTTCCTGTGACCCTCCAAACTTGGAAACTCAGCCACTCACGAAACTCCATTTAGGAGCCATCTCCTGAGAACTCATCCCTACCTCGCCCCACACTACACTGGATCAGGGGTCTCATCTCCTGAACCTCTGCCGCCACCTGCTTCCTGCGGCACCTGGCACACCGCACACGCATACTCGCTTGCTAAGAGTGGCCTTGTACTCATGGACCCCAGATACCCAGCTCATGTGTAGCACCTTCGCTTCTGCCCAGTGGTCACAGGGAGGCCCAAGCTGAAGTCCCCTGCCCACAGCATGCCTGGCCTGGAGTGTGGCTCCCCTGAAATAAACCACTTCGGCCCCCAGAGCCAACTCCCCCAGGGCTCCCAGGCCTCTCCAGCGCTCCTCCTGAAACATCTGTAACGAGAGGGACAGAGCCTTTGGCGAGCGATGCTCAAAGCCCACGGAGCCACAGTCCCAGCAGTGTGGACCGAGCAGACGGCCCGATGGAAACAACCAGGGCAGACAGCCCGACACTGCCCGCCCCTCCGCTCCCATCCTGCTTCAAACCAGGTTGAAAGAGAAGCAAGGGCTCCCACAGCCGCCACGACCCTGGGCAGCAGCTGGGCCCAGCACCAGCCTGGGCCATGACACCGCTGCCCAGCAGCCTACCCAGTGGCCCCCCAGGTGGGCCCAGAGCCAGCAGCTCAGGCACAGGGAAGAGAGGACCCTGGGTGGCCAGTGCCTCCTCACGTCAGAAGAGACCTCACAACGTCCGACGACGAGGAGTCCCCAGACGCCAGCACCAGGCACAGTTACAGCCCAGGAGGCTGAGTGCTAAGAACAGGTCTCGGGACAAGGTCTGGCCGGGGGTCCGGTGAAATGCTGGCATGAGTGTGGAAAGGACTTGTTCTTGAACTATGCTCCCTAGGGTACTGGAGGGGGAAGAAGCACCCACGCAGAGAGCACTCAGGTCTCCCAGCCCCAAAATAATCAGTGACAACAGCTGGGACCTCAAGAAAAATTGTATGGGGGAGAAAGTGTCACTCCCAGGAAAAGGCTGGAAAACCCAGGCTGAGAGTCTCAGCTGCAGTCCATGCCCTTCCGGGCTGGCCACCCAGAGATCACGCACCACCAGACGGGCCCAGTCTGCCTTCCCTGCAGGCCTGCTGTGGTTGACCCGTGGGCATACACTCATCAGATGCGGTGCCATCCGGACAGCCCTCCATTCTTGGCCCCCAACAGTCCTCTGGTTCCTTCTCTCCCTCGCTTGTACAAGAGTCACTGAGCCAGGGACGTGGACAGGAAGCTCCTTTCAGAGTCCCCGCTGCCACGTGGGGGGTGCAAACCACTAGGCTCTCCGGGTCCTTGCGCCGTGTGGCGTGAACCTTCCCACAGCTCAGAGAACGTCTGCTGAGCAGTGAATCCATGTGACAGCTCCCCACACATGAAGCCCAGGAAAGGGTTCCAGCCAGTGCCAGGTCAGAGAGCCACTGGCTGAACTCACACACCCTTTCCATGAGGCTATGCACCGGGACTCCGGAGAAGGCAGCATGCCTTACCTGATAGTAGGTTTTGATGTTCCGCACCAGGATGGTCAGGTTCTGAATGCGAAGGTTCACGTCGTTGTTGACGTGCTTATTGATGCGCTGGTTGGTCGGCCTGGGATCTCTGGGGAAGAAAGAGGTGAGCAGAAATTCAGTCCTCTGGTCCCGAGCCTCACTAGTCCCGATGACTCCAAGGCCATGACAGTGTGACTAAATCTAATCCTAACCAGGAACGGGGTGAGCCAATCACCTTTCTCCTCCCACACCGGACACCTGGCCCATCACTGTCCTGATCAATGCTGCCTCCATCTACCACCATAGCACCAGTGGGGGATGTCCCTGTCACTGCAGACCCAAATGCCAAGCTGTACAAAAATCAGTACCTTCACCAGAAACATACTCCAAGATCAAAAGCAATCCATGTGGAATATTACGAAAATCATAATAAAATCATGCTGTTCCGCTTAACACAGGTCACGCTTTCACATCTACATTGGTCTTAGGCTGGTCCTGCCTACAATTTACATCCCAGCGACACAATTCCTCCATGAATACCTGGCACGCTCAGTCTGTGACACACTACTGTGCAAAAGGCACCCTGTAAGAAATGCTAAGAGACACAAACCCTTTGTGTGGGGAACCCCCAAAGTGTCACCGATCTTCCAAGCTCAGGCAAAAGTCAGGTTTGGCCGTGATGAGACCAGAAGTCTATGGCAAGTGATTTACAATTTCACTCATCCATATGCAGAATATTTTTTCTCAAAATCATCCGCACTGGGAACTGGTTCTGATGATCAGAGAGCACTTAATGGAGAGCGGTTAGCTGCCCCCACCCCCGCCTGATCTGCAGCTGCTTTTCATGACAAAGGCCGGCCTCCCAGCCCCAGTCCCAAGACACCCCAAGGAGGGCAAAGCCTGTCTTCTGCATTTCATCTGTCATCTAAGCCCCACAATAAAGGTGCAGGGCCTCCTGGGGCTGCTGCAGGGGAGGCCAGGAAATAAATCTCAATGCCGTTCAGCTCACAGCCAACAATAGAAGACCGAGAAACAGAACAACAACAACAGAGCCTACACAGCAAAATAACTTCAGATGATACTGGAAATATAAGCTTTTTTGTAACACAGGCTGTTAAAGTTCAACCTTTAAGTAAATATTTCACTTCCACGCTGTGAGTCTCTAGGCAGTATCACCAGTATGCAAACTCTCTCACACAGTACCATCAGCATAGACTTCATTCAGTCATTTTATGTCCCCTAAAACAGTCCCACAGGTCCCTTGGGGCAACCTCTTTTCAACTGTCAGGTAACAGCATTTCTTACAGTTCCCGAATAGTAATGGCATCTGGGTTATTTGTTGTTTTCTTTTTTTGTTGTTCATTTTTGAGATAGGGTCTCGCTATGCAGTTCAGGCTGGCCTTGAGCTGACTTTGTAGCCCAGGCTGGTCTTGAACTCGCAATGATCCTCCTGCCTCAGCCTCCTGAGTGCTGGAATTACAGGTGTGCACCACCATGCCCGGCTAGTAATGGAGTCAGATGGCCAAGCTATTCTCATGTTACACGTCACTCCTGGAGCCACTGATTACTGAGAAAATAAAGGTTTAACACTCTAGTAAAATTAATTTAGGAAAAGAGGTGGTGGTCAGAACTTAAACCATGGGGGCATTTTTAGAGGCAAAACTGTTTCTAGCATCATAAAATAATTTCTAAGAAAATAATAATAATTTCTCTTAAAGGTGTAGTTCCTACCCCTTGACTGTAGCTACCTTAAGAGACAAGAAGCTCGCTCCACAATGATAAATGCATGGTTCAATAAAGCAGAATTTAAGAGACGATGCAGGGCTTTTTTCTGTTTTAGCGTCGCTGCAGTCCCAGATTTCCGAGTGAGCGGCAGGGGCCTGAGGCCTGGGCACACTGTGCACGCCCACTCAAGTGCAAAGGAACACGCACACCCGTGTTCCTTCCATCACAGCGTGAACACCTCTGACCGTCCCTGCTTTTGTTCTGCCCAGTTCTGGGAGGACAGCTAACCGAAGCAACACTGCACAAGAGCCCTGGCACCGCTGTATGACTAATTAGACCAATTATTATGATCATCAGTACTCCCTCATTTAACTAAGGCTCCCTAGGTAAAGTGAGGGTATTAGGGGACCCATCAAAACAGAGTCCTGGGCTGGAAATATAGCTCAGTGGCATAAGCGCCTGCCTGGCAAGCGCAAGGTCGTGAGTTTGATCCCCGGTAACACACACATACACACACACACACACAAAACAGAGTCCTGGGGGCCTGGGATATAGCTCAGCACAAGTGCCTGCCTGGCAAGTGCAAGGTCCTAAGTTCGATTCCCAGCACCAAAAAAAACCAAAACCAAAAGCAGAGTGCCGATGCTGGGCAAGGAAGGCACAGCTCCATCTCTACCCACCCAGGACCCCCAGCCCCCACCTCCCCATGCTGCAAGAAAGGGAGCTAGGGGAGAGACTTCAGTTCTGGCCACAGGTCTCTGGGCCTCAGTGTGCTCATCTGCAAAACAGACCCAGGACCTTTCAGCCTTGAAAGGTGCTGCGTTAGCCAGCTTGGACTCTTCCGAGCTGTACGCCAGGGGGACGTGAGGAGCCACTGTGCAAGCACTGCCCCAAGTCCTTGTTAAGAGCACCATCCTCTCCACACGACAGCCCCAAGTGTTAGGACCCCAGGACGTCAGGACCTCAGAGGACAGGCGACAGGCAGGCAGGTGCACACGGCAGCCGGGACAAAGCTGGACGGTCCCAAGTCCAAACCACAGGGCTTCCTTTTCATCAAAACTTGTAAGTGGAAAAAAGGAAATTAACTCCTGCTAGAGTTTTGTTTTGTTTCTTTTTTGAGACAGAGTCTCACTTTGTCGGCTAGCCCTGAACTCACCATGTAGCCCTGGCTGGCTTAGAAGTTGCAGCAATCCTCCTGCCTCAGCCTCCAGAGTGCTGGCACTTCAGGCATGCATGACCATGCCTGGCTCTTACTAGAACTTTAAGGGAGTTAGAATTTTGCAACTTTGTCCTTCCCCTTTGGGAAAGTCAGACTTCAACTGTTGGTCATATTCCAAA